GGGGGGGGGGGTGTGCCTTTGAGATTCAAAGCTCCCTTGGTCAGATCTACTGCGGATCAGCACGGCTATGCTTTTTCTTGGGGGTTTCCCATACTCACTGTGCTGCTCCTAATGATTTGTGAGACTGCTTCAGACACCATGTAACGTTTCCTAACAGGCCAGGAATCAGCAGCGGAACGGCATTTATTAGAACGTGACAAACTGCCAAATGAACGGGCTCCAACTGTCCTGGTCCCACCCAACCGCTCCTTTAGAATCTCTGGGAATTGGCCTTAAAGTCCTAATATAACAGTTCCCCATAAAATATAGAAATAGACACCCTTGTGTGCATTGTTTCAGTAGGTAACCAGCATGAATTTTCTCCTTTCCTCTTACAGGGATACCGGCCCCAATGTGCTGTTGTTCCAGGGTTAGGATCCTGAGGTAGTAGAACAAATTTTAGAGTCCAGTGGCACCTTTAAGACCAACAAAGTTTTATTCAAGGTATGTGCACATGAAAGCTCATACCCAGAATAAACCTTTATTGGTCTTAAAGGTGCCACTGGACTCAAACATTGTTCTGCTGTTTCAGACCAACACAGCTGACTACCTGGATCGATCCTGAGGTAGTTGAGCGATCCTGAGATAGTTGAGTTGGTGCTTGGGGGGGGGGGGCAACAGTGGGAAGGGCTTCTAGTGTCCTGGCCCCACTGCTGGACCTGGTATTTTTGGCCACTGTGTGACAGAGTGTTGGACTGGATGGGCCATTGGCCTGATCCAACATTGGCTTCTCTTATGTTCTTATCCATCACTTTGGACTACAGGTGGAGGATACCATTATAGAATGCTCTCCTTAAAAGAAAACCTCCTTGCAAGAAGAAAACTAGCATAGCAGGGAGAAGGTAAGGCTACTTTTCTACTTGCAGAGAACCTTTTTTTAAGGATTCAAAAGAGGAGCATCTAAATATGCTTCCATGAAGCCATTCTTTATAATGACAAAAATGTGGGGAAGGAGATGGGTCATTCCAGACGGGCTGTCCTCACACAGCACAGGGAGGGAGGAGATTTGATTTTTGAGGTGGGAGAGAAGAGAAGGAATCCAGCCATCTGAACTATGTGCCCTGTCGCATAGATTCCAAGGTGCATTCTTACTCAGGCAACACCCCTTCACGTGCTGGCTGGATCCCTGCCAAACAGAGGCAGAGATGACTGAGCAGGCTGCCGGGTGTCCTGGGGTTGCCAGCTCCGAGTTGGGAAATACTTGAAGATTTTGGGGGTGGAGCCAGGGGAGGGACCTCCGGAGACCTCTGTCCTCTGGAGACCTCTGTCAATTGCAATAGCCAGAGGTCTCCAGGCCCCACCTGGAGGTTAGCATCCCTCCCAAACAGCCCAGCTTAGAGACCTCTGGTGGAAGCCACTTTGAAATCATACCCGGTTGGAGAGGTGGAGGGAAAAGTTATTAACACTTCACTTTTATGCTTATGCCAGTTTGGTGTCGTGGTTAAGTGCGTGGACTCTAATCCGGGAGAACCGGGTTTGATTCCCCACTCCTCTGTGTGCAGCTGCTGGTGTGACCTTGGATCAGTCACAAGTTCTTTCAGAGCTGTTCTCTCAAGGGCAGTTCTTGAGAGAGAGCTCTCAGCCCCACCTCCCTCACAGGGTGTCTGTTGTGGGGAGGGGAAGGGAAAGCCACTTTGAGACTCCTTTGGGTAGTGAAGGGTGAGGCATAAATCCAATCTCTTCTTCTTCTTCTTAAACTGTTTTCACACATTATATTGTTCTAAGGCCTGAGTCTGACCAGCACCTTGCAAGGTAGGCCTCTCTTATTAGCCCAGTGTGAAGGAGTGTAGCTCGCCTAAAGCCATTTAGTGAGTTCCTGGCAGAAGCAAGGTTTAAACTGGGAACTATCCAATTCATACAGCAAATCAATAGCTTAGCCGCGACTTGACACCAGGTCTCTACTGCTCAAAGCCCCCCTCGACACCTTGATGTTGCCCTAAAAAAAGGTGGATTGTCGTCAAAATTAATTCATTTATGCCAATGTGGTGTCGTGGTTAGAGCAGGGTTCCCCAATGTTTTTCAGCCTGGGGGCACCTTTGGACCTCTGGTACAGTGTGCTGGGTCCAGTCACAAAATGGCTGCTGCAGATTCTCTTCCATCGCATAGTCAGGATCCCGATGCTGCAGAGGCAGCTGCTGCCAAAGCGACACGTTTAAAAGTCTGCACAGCCAATCAAATCTCCATTGGCCAATCAGAAGCCTAACTGGGCAGAAGCCCTGCCTGGTCCTGCCCATTTTCTAAAAACATTTGGCGGGTACCAGGAAAGGTGGCGTCGGGCACCCAAGGGCACCCCACTGGGTCCCTGTGCTTTAGAGTGTCAGACCAGGATCTGGGAGACCCAGTTTCAAATCTCACTCTGCCTAACCTACCTCACAGGGTTGTTGGCAGTTAACATGGAACACAATGACGTAAGTTGCCTTCAGCCCCGACTGGGGAGAAAGACAGGATATAAATGAATGAAATAAATAATAATACATATTGGGTACCTTAGAGCAGCACAAGCAGAATCCAAGAGGGTTAGATCTCCTCAGAAGCCCCTGGGTCAAAGGCAGTCCGGATCTCCTCAGCATGCCACTGAGGCAACCTGCCTGCCGTCAGAGAGGCATGAACGTGCAATATTCCCGTCCAAGCAGAGGCAGCGGAACAAAGAAAATCAAAATCGTTATTGCCATCGTTCAAAGCAATCGATTCACTTTGCTATTGTAAGCCTGGTAAAAAAATGTTCTGTTTATTATTAGGACACTGTGGCTGGTTTTTTGTTACGCAGTGGGCCCGGCCTGCTCGGAAAACGGTGCCCTCCAGAGAGGTGATTTCCACACAGGCTGGGCAAGAGGTGGCTTGCTGGGCTGGGCGACAGGTCAGGAGAAGAGGGGGGTAAGCGCCAAGAATGGGAAGGAGGAGGTGCCGAACTGTTTTCTCCTGAGGACATGAGAGGATTTTCCTCTGGAAGAGTTCCAGAGAAGGCCTCCTGTCAGGTCATGAGAAAGGCAGTTGGAACCAATGTTACCTCCAAGCTGTGGAGTCTTGTGAGCAAAAATTCCACTTTGTGAACTACTGGCATTAAAGTTGTGAGCCATTTGGCCACTGCATAAATTAATTTGCTCTGGAGCCATCCTTCCTGAGCGAAGACAAAAATCTGTGAGCCGGAGGCTAAAAAACTGTGAGCTAGCTCATGCTAACTCAGCTTAGAGGGAGCACTGGTTGGAAGAAGAGGTGCCATCTTCTGGCATGGGCCTGTAGTTTTTAGAGGTCTCATACTCAGCCCACTGGACCCCAGGTGAATCTCTGTGGGGAGAGTTTACCATAAGCCACAGGCCACCCCAGAAAAAGCCTCATCTTGAATATGGCCACCTCCTTATTTCAGAGAACAATGGTGCCCAGTAGGGCTTCAGATTAAGATGGCGGTACCTGGGAGGGTTCCTATGGAATTCAAATGGTCCTTCAACATTCTGGTCCTTAGCACCGCACGACATTAAAGATCCTAATCAGCACTTTGAACTGAGCCTGGAAGTGAATCGGTATCCAATACAAATTCTTTCACGTGGCTAAATCTATGCCATATGATTTATTTATTGCCATCAAATCACAGCCCAGTTATGGCGACCCTGCAGGGTTTTTGAAGCAAGAGACGCTCAGAAGTGGTTAGCCGTTGCCAGCTTCCGCATCACAACCCTGGTATTCCTTGGAGGTCTCCCGTCCAAATACTAACCAGGGCCAACCCTGCTTCGCTTCCCAGATCTGACAAGAACGGGCTATCCTTACCAGGGCGTACAATTCGCTGCTGCGTTTTGAACTAGTCGAAGCTTCTGAACCATCACCAACAGCAGCCCCATGTACAGCACACAGCAGTAGTCTAGCCTGCAGGTAACTATAAAAAGGACGCTCAGTTGTGGATGTGTCTGATGGTGAAAGGAAAGTCCGATGCTGCAAAGAACAATACTGCATAGGAACCTGGAATGTAAGATCTATGAATCAAGGTAAGCTTGACGTGGTCAAAAATGAGATGGCAAGACTGAACATCGATATCTTAGGAATCAGTGAACTAAAGTGAACAGGAATGGGCGAATTTAACTCAGAAGACCATTATATCTACTACTGTGGCCAGGAATCTCGTAGAAAAAATGGTGTGGCCTTTATAGTCAACAAGAGAGTGCAAAAGTCAGTACTGGGATACAATCTCAAAAATGACAGAATGATTTTGGTCCAATTCCAAGGCAAACCATTCAGAATCACAGTAATCCAAGTCTATGCCCCAACCACTGATGCAGAAGAGGCTGAAGTGGACCGGTTCTATGAAGACCTACAACACCTCATAGAACTAACACCAAAAATGATGTCCTCATCATCATAGGGGACTGGAATGCTAAAGTAGGAAGTCAAAAGGCAACCGGAATGACAGACAAGTTTGGCCTTGGAAAGCAAAATGAAGCAGGGCAAAGGTTAACAGAGTTTTGTCAAGAGAACACACTGGTCATAGCGAACACCCTTTTCCAACAACCTAAGAGGCGACTCTACACATGGACATCACCAGATGGGCAACACCGAAATCAGACTGACTATATAATTTGCAGTCAAAGATGGAGAAGCTCTATCCAGTCAGTAAAAACAAGACCTGGAGCTGACTGTGGTTCAGATCATGAGCTACTCATTGCAAAATTCAGACTTAAACTGAAGAAAATTGGGAAAACCACGAGGCCATTCAGGTTTGACCTAGATCGCATCCCTGATGAATATACAGTAGAGGTGAAGAATAGATTCAAGGGTCTGGATTTGATAGATAGAGTGCCTGAAGAACTATGGACGGAGGTTCGTGACATCGTACAGGAGGCAGCAATCACCACCATCCCAAAGAAAAAGAAATGTAAGAAAGCAAAGTGGCTTTCTGATGAGGCTTTACAAATAGCAGAGGAAAGAAGGAAAGCGAAAGGCAAAGGCGAAAAGGAAAGATTTACCCAACTGAACGCAGATTTCCAGAGAACAGCAAGGAGAGATAAGGAGGCCTTCCTGAATGAACAGTGCAAAGTAATAGAAGAAAACAATAGAATGGGAAGGACTAGAGATCTCTTCAAGAAAATTGGAGAAATCAAGGGAGCGTTCCATGCAAAGCTGGCCATGATAAAGGACAAAAACGGTAGGGACCTAACAGAAGCAGAAGAGATTAGGAAAAGATGGCAAGAATACACAGAAGAACTATACAAGAAAGACCTCGATGTCCTTGACAACCACGACGGTATAATCACTGACCTCGAGCCAGACATCCTGGAATGTGAAGTTAAATGGGCCTTAGAAAGCATTACTAACAACAAAGCTAGTGGAGGTGATGGTATTCCAGCTGAGCTATTCAAAGTCTTAGAAGATGATGCTGTTAAAGTTCTGCACTCCATTTGCCAGCAAATTTGGAAAACGCAACAGTGGCCACAGGATTGGAAAAGATCAGTATACATTCCAATCCCAAAGAAGGGCAATGCCAAGGAATGTTCAAACTATCGCACAATTGCACTCATATCACACGCTAGCAAGGTCATGCTCAAGATCCTACAAGCTAGGCTTCAACAGTACGTGGATAGAGAACTACCAGAAGTACAAGCTGGGTTTCGAAGAGGTAGAGGAACTAGAGATCAAATTGCCAACATTCGCTGGATTATGGAGAAAGCAAGAGAGTACCAGAAAAATATCTACTTCTGCTTCATTGACTATGCTAAAGCTTTTGACTGTGTGGATCACAACAAACTATGGCAGGTCCTTAAAGAGATGGGAGTACCAGACCACCTCACATGTCTCTTGAGAAACCTGTATAAGGGCCAAGAAGCGACAGTTAGAACCGGATATGGAACAACTGATTGGTTCAGCATAGGAAAAGGAGTACGACAAGGATGTATATTGTCGCCTTGCTTATTTAATATATATGCAGAGTACATCATGCGAAATGCTGGCCTGGATGAATCACAAGCGGGAATTAAGATTGCTGGGGAAAAGATCAACAACCTCAGATATGCAGACGATACCACTCTAATGGCAGAAAGTGAAGAGGACCTTAAGAGTCTCTTGCTCAGGGTAAAAGAGGAGAGCGCAAAAGTGGGCTTGAAGCTCAACATCAAAAAAACTAAGATCATGGCATCCGGCCCCATCACTCCTTGGCAAATAGAAGGGGAAGTCGTGGAAGTAGTGACAGACTTCACATTCCTGGGATCCCAGATCACTGCAGACTGTGACAGCAGCCATGAAATTAAAAGACGCCTGCTCCTTGGGAGGAAAGCGATGGCGAACCTAAACAGCATGATAAAAAGTAGAGACATCACCCTGCCAACAAAAGTCCGCATGGTCAAAGCAATGGTATTCCCAGTAGTCATGTATGGCTGCAAGAGTTGAACTATAAGGAAGGCCGAGCGCCGAAGAACAGATTCTTTTGAACTATGGTGCTGGAGCCCCTTGAAGACCGAAGGGCATAACCAAGTACTCGAACTGGCCCAAGGGGGTGTTGAACGCCGTTTTACCCTCATCCCCCTCCCTGATGCGCACCCGGAAATATGCGTCCCTTAGATCGAGCTTCGAGAAGATCTTCCCTTTCGTGGCCTCAGCCACCAAATCTTTGATGAGGGGACTCTTGGGAGTCCCTTGGACTGCAAGAAGATCAAATCAGTCAGTCCTAAAAGAAATCAATCCTGACTGTTCCCTGGAAGGCCAGATAATGAAACTGACGCTCAAATACTTTGGCCACCAAATGAGAAGGGAGCACTCACTGGAGAAGACCCTGATGAGATGGTTGGACAGTGTCACCGATGCAACGAACATGAAGTTGAGCAAACTTCAGAGGACGGCGGAAGACAGGAAGGCGTGGCGGGAGCTGGTCCACGGGGTTGCGAAGAGTCGGACTCGACTGTGCGACTGAACAACAACATAAAATGGATAACTGTGGCCAGATCAGCTTTCTCAAGGAAGGGCTTCAGCTGGCAAACCAACCAAAGGTGGTCAGAGGAGTGGCGTGTCACAGAGGGGATCTGAGCCCCCATTTGTCAATAAAGATCTAACAGTGTCCCCCAACTGAGAACCTGTGAATTCTGATGGAGCGTCACCCCATCCAGAAGGCTGGCTCCTCATTCTCTGCTTTGCTACAGAATCTTTAATAAGCAACAAATGTGACATTTCTGCCAGTTTACAAAAACCGTCCTCTACTGTATGACAACCATACTAATTAAAAAAAACCAGAGGTGAATTATTATAACTCCGAACAACTTCAGGTGAGATCAGTATCAGTGGGAACAATTACGCTGGAGCCCTACGGGCCGCCAACGTTTCCAAACATTTTTTAAACAGGGGGAGAAAGCAAAGTGATGGCAATTGTTGTAAGCCAGAAGTCACGTTTTTGGAAGGCATTTGCACTTCATAGGCATCAGGCCAAATTCCCCGTTGGGAGATAGCTCCAGTTGTGGAAGACGGCTGGGAAGAGAAACTTGGCTGCGTTGCCAGATTTCGGGCACAAGGAGACCTCCCACATGCCCCTGCTTACCCATCACCCCGGAACGAGGAAAAAGAGGGGAAAGATCTGCCACCTACACACTGGCATCCTTGACTACATGGAACATTTGCA